TAAACATTCTAAAGAGAATGATTTTATTCTACTAATCATCAAGCCATAGGTTTATTTTTTAAATTTATTAGTATTTTTTTATCAAGTTTATACATCTAAAGGTACTCTAATAGTGGGTAGAAAAGACTACTGTGCAATAGAACCGAAATGTTTTCCTAATAATATTTTATATTTAATAATTTCATTTTTCATGCCTTTATTCATGAACATGCACAGCTGGCTTTTATAATTAGGAAGGGGGTCCCTTGACATCAAAAAAGATTTCAAACTCCTGGTCTATACTGCTTTGGTGAAATGCTAAGCAACCTCACTAAAACAATATTCTAAATGATGATCCTGATTGGCTGTGTGTTACCTGTGTTCTGACGTCAGTCTCGGGGTCTGCGCAGGTGTGATACAGCACTGTGAGCAGTGACTGCAGGTGCTGTGTACAGTGATCTTCAGCATGCAGCAGCAGAACCCGCAGCAGCTGGGCCGTCTTCACTCGTGTCTGCACTAACCAGTCTCCAATGTCCCGGCCCACAGCAGGAAGCAGCTTTGACAGATTCCTCACCACCAGCTCCCTGCAGCCCAGCCCGGGACACTCTCCTGTATGAGAGAAAGAAGAAAGATTGGTTTTATTCCACTGTTGCCATGCACAGCTGGTACCACTGCATTGTTTTAAACATACATGTACACTACCTAAATGTATGGCATCTGTAAGATTTTTTTATGTTTTGGAAAGAAGTCTTTTATGCTCACCAAGGCTGTGTTTATTTGATTTAAAAAATACAGTCATATTATGAGATTTTATTACAATATAAAATAACTGTTTTCCATTTGAATATATTTTAAAATGGAATTTATTTCTGTGATGCAAAGCTGAATTTTCAGCATCATTACTCCAGTCTTCAGTGTCACATGATCCTTCAGAAATCATTCTAATAAGCTAATTTGCTGCTCAGGAAACATGTCTTATTATTATCAATGTTGAAATCAGTTATGCTGCTACAGCATATATTTTGTGAATGAATACTCCTTGATGAAAAGAAAGATTAAATAGAAATCTTTTGCAATGATGTGTTGGTTATTAAAAAATGCAAACATCTGGCTAACCATACTTTCACATCCAGCTTATCTGACTTTCTGCCCTCTCTCTACTTTCTTCTCAATAAAAGTGGAACAAAAATAAAAAAGCTACCATCTGCCATCCTACAAGCTTCTTCCTAGTTTCACTTAGAGATGAAATAAACCTTAACTAGATCAGGCCTGTGGGGCTTTTATTCTAGAACAAGATAGCTGAGCAGGGGCTACGGTACCTCAAATGTTATTTGAGCGTTTCATCTAGTGTTTCTAATATCATATAGAGATATCTAAGATATCTAATGTATATGTACAGTATTTAGTATCCATAACATGTATTTTTAGAAAAGAGAGTCATTCTGTTATTAGTTTGTCCTACCTCCAGATGTGTAGAGGGAAGGAGCAGGCAACCGAAAGTCCATCTTATCCTTCAGATCATCCTCATTTTCCTTCTCCCATTGAGATCCTACTTTTTTCCATAAGTCCTCAGCAAGAGACCTGAATGAATTTATTTGGAATCACAAAATCATACATTTTGTATAAGAAATGGCTAAAGAGAAAAAGGAAATAAACAAGACATCAAATACACTTTTTGGTCAGTAAGTAATTTTTTTTTTTTTCAAAGAAATGAATTGTTTTATTCAGCAAGCAGTAAATTGATCAAAAGTGACAGTGAAGGCATTTATAACGTGACAAAAAAAAATCATATTTTAAATAAATGCTGTTCTTTTGAACTTTCTATTCATCAAAGAATCCTGAAAAAAGTATATGACAGTTTCCACAAAAATATTATGCAGCACAACTATTTTCAACATTGATAATAATCAGAAATGTTTCTTGAGCAGCATATTAGAATGATTTCTGAAGGATCATGTGACACTGAAGACTGGAGTAATGATGCTGAAAATTCAGCTTTGCATCACAGGAATAAATTACATATTAAATATATATTTAAATAGAAAACAGATATTTTAAATTGTAATAATATTTCACAATATGACTGTTTTTACTGTATTTTTAATCTAGTAAATGCAGCCAAACCCAAACTTATGAAAGACAGTCTATAACATTTACATGAATTTTACTAGTTTTCCTGACTTTAAAAGGCCTGGAAAACAATGTTATTTCCATGTCTGTGCATTTGTTTTCACCTGATTTCAGGGATCTCATCGCTGAGGCTGCTCAGAAGCAGCGGGATGAGCTTGTGGAAGTAGGAATATCTGTCCGGCAGGCGGAGAAGCCAATCACCCACGACTACAGTAACGGCCTTCCTCACCTGAACATATTAGCACAACAATACAGCATTCCCATGTGGGAAAAACAACACTAATGTGCTTTGTAAAACAGGAAGCATATTTCATATTTAGCTGAAGAATTTCTTGGAAAGATACCAAAGAAGACAAGCCATTTATTAAATAATGCATCATGATCAATCAATACCTTTCTTTACTCTTATTTATTTGTTATTTATTGATTTTTCAGCTAAGCCGCTGCCAGCTTACCCGTGGAGAACTGTCAAACAATCTCTGTGCCAGGTGGGACAAAACGTCATCTACGTTCTTGCCTGCGCTGTGCTGAATGACTGCGCCAATGGCCTGTGTGACAGAAACTCTCACTTGGGAATGCTGGTGAGAAATAGTCTGCAGCAGGGGCTTCAGAAGACTCTCAGCCTGCAGGTGGAAATGATCTGGGAAAAGATAGATAGATAGATAGATAGATAGTTGAGATGCAGTGTATATGCATTATGGATCATAAAGTATAAGTAATGTATCTGTTTGAATTCATTATACAGGACTTATGTGGCAAACTGGGCTTAGATGGGTTATTGGTTGTCATGGTAACATGGCCAGACTGTTGCCCCTGACAAAAATTAACGCTCAGCCAAACCTCTCTTTTAAAATGCTTTTATTTAGTTGAAAACAGATTTCTAAACGTGGGAAGTTGTTTGGCACATGTTGCATAAACCATAACACAATCTCAGGCATTATTAGAATTAATATACTCGCCAATACTCTCATTTGGCCAAGTGTTAATTTAAGCCCTGGTCAGGGGCACCAGTCTGGCCATGTTACCATGACAACCAACAACCCATCTAAGCCAAAGTCTTTGCCTAAGCTGAATTTGACACTTAACTCCTGTATAATGAATACAATTACTCGACCTTTATGATATTTTTTTGTATACATACTGTATCTCAACTGTCTTTTGAAGCACATCAAAAGCTTGAGGGCCCCACTTACCAGGAATACTCTGTGCAACACTGATGACACATTTACAGCTCTCTTTCTTGACTTCAGGAAAGGGATCTGTGATGGTTCTCTGCAGGATCTTTATCATGTCTTCCAGGTAGGGGGCCAGTTGCCTGCCGCACACCTCCACCACCAGAGACAGCATCTCCATCAGAGCCAGCCTGAGCTCCTCCGCCGGCTCCAGGATCTCCTTCCCCCCGAGCCTCTGCGCCAGGGCGGGCATGAGGTAGGGCAGAGAGTCTTCTGGTTTGGGGACAGCTCTGATAAAGCCCGTGATGATCTGAATAGCCGTGTCCCTGCATGTCTCCGCAGGATCTGACAGACATTTCAGCAGCGCCTTTAGCAAACCGCCGAAAAGCTCCTGCAGCGCGCCGCCGGACAAGCGCTGCTCGACGGTTTCTCTCTTCACCGCTTCTAGAGCTCGTCTTCTGGCGCTTTTGTTGTCCTCGTTTAAACAGTTCAAATGGCGAGCCAGAGATTTTAAAACATCCGCTGCTGCTCGCTCTTCACTGGCGGTCGCCATTGCTGCTTCACGTGTGCTGTTGTTGTTGCTGGTTGTCATGGCGATTGTTGCCACTACGACTGTAGATTGCGACAGCTCAGATTGCTTTACGGTCGATGTTCATTCAAAACAGTTAAACTTTATTTTACTTCGAGTCCATGGTCAGAACAAGATTTTTTTTTCCACAAAGAAAAAGTAACGAGTACGTTCAATACTATTAAATACAGAATAAACATTCAGAAATCATACAACCTTTTTCAAAAGGAACTATAATATACAAATGTGTGTGCGCACATTCTTATCATGCAATGTACACACACACACACACAGATTACAGATTATATATATACAGTGTTGGGCAAGTTACTTCCAAAATGTAATACATTATATATTACTAGTTACTGTCTTTTGAAAGTAATTAGTTTCAGTATTTCTATTATTTATTATGATTATTTATTATTATTTTTATTACTTAATTAATATTATTTTTTTTATTGTTATGTACTTTTATATAACTTAATAAACGTGTGTGTGTGTGTGTGTATTTCAAAACCATTATTATTTCAAATAAATAAATAAATGGATAGAGAGAGATAGATAGATAGATAGATAGATAGATAGATAGATAAAAAAATAAATAGTATACTGACAAAGCCATAAAAGATGAAGCACATTAGAATGATTTCTAATGAGATGGTGCGTGTCACATATAGGGATTTTTTTTCTTTAAATAAGTATTCATTAGATTTAATCAAGATTTTGTATTTAACAAACCACGACACTAATTTTGCCTCCATGCTGTTTGAATAATCACATGAATAATGTAAGAAAAATCTGCTTATTATTTCCTAATCATGCATTTTTTATGTTCCATAGCTGCTCATTGGAAGATTTTCTTGGAAGAAGAAAAAAAAAATTGACACAAGCACAGACATCTCTGCATATAAACGTGTTCAGTCACCAAGCATCAGTGTTTGCAGAGGTCAGGCCTGCGTTCAGCCCCGACAAAACGGTGCAAAACGTTTTTTAAACTGAAACGGTGGTGCATTGAACACCCTGTTCTGATGACGCAAGAGTTGCAGCTATGGCAGCTGAGAAGGCCATTCTTTGTGTTCTTTTTGAAGAATTTTCGGAGCCTGATATATCCAGCGCGTGAAAGCATGCGCGCTATTCTGCGTGACGCACAGACCCGCACAATGACGCGGATTGGCTGCAGCAGCGTGTCATGGAAAATAAATAAATGATTCTAAAATAAAACATATCTGTCTCAACCCATCAACATCCTACGTAACAGTTATATGACTTTTTTGATCTTGTAAATTACGTACTTTATTGAAGAGTAGCCTACTAATGTCAGCGTCCAATCGGGAGGCGGCTTGACGTCATACAGCAGGACCAAACAAACCGCATCCCGGAGCGTAAGCCTTGCATCTCCGTCTCATAACGGTAAGACAAATTAACACCAAACACTGTGACACACACCATGGGTTTTAGCTTGATATACCCACAGATGCGGGTTTCAAGATAATAAATGACTAAAACCAATTATTCACCGCGTAGGTTTGTGTTTAGAAGCGAATAAGCTGCGATAAAAGCGTAAACAGGTGATCACGGAGGGATGCTCGAGCGCTCCGCCGTTTCGTTTTTAACGCACGACTGAATGCGGTATCGGTTTCGTGAACGCATAGGTCGAAATGGCATATTAAAGCTTCAGTTGCCGGTGGTTTTTGGATGGTTGATGTGAATCAATGGCGGAAGTGAAATGTAAATGTGTAACATAGAGAAGAATGGCCTGTGATTTAGTCATAATGTCAATGTTTATCTATCTAGGCACTGTGTTTGTGTATTTGTATTGACAGTGCATAGATGCATATTGTGGATTTCATTAGTCAGTCAGCAGGCAAGCTTATTATTTAAGACGCACAGACTTAAAGAAAGCAGATCTCTCCTCAGCCCCCCTCCTTTGCTCTTTTCTCCTGTAGCAGTGATAGAAGATAAGATGGCCACCTCCTCCTCCAATCTGGAAGAAGATGAAAGTCTGAAAGGCTGCGAGGTGTTCGTGCAGAAACACAACATACAGCAGATCCTCAAAGAGTGCATCGTCAACCTGTGCATTGCCAAGCCCGAGCGGCCTGTGAAGTTCCTGCGGGAACACTTCGAGAAGCTGGAGAAGGTGCGTTACTCTTACTGTATTTGCTCTGCTGCTGGTTGTGTTTGTAGAAGTTGCGCATTTGCATCGGAAAGGGTGATGGTTAGGGATCTGGGATGTCGCTTCATTTCCATGGAGCTGGAGAAGCCGGAGCTGGAGAGTTATTGAGATCATTGCTGTCCCATTTGGCCTGGCACTTAACCTCAGGATGCTCCGGGGGGATTGTTCCTGTAATTAATGTACTGTACGTTGCTTTGGAAAAAAGTCTGGCTGAATGCACTGTGATACAGTGTCAATGAACGTCTTCTCCTTCTTTCAAACATCCACGATCATTAACTGTCATTGTGCTAGTGCTCACAGTGAGGTTGATGTTCTTTTTGTCTTAATTATTGACAAGTGCAGCACAATAGATAGATAGAACTAATTGCAGGTTTTGGAACGAGAAATCATTGGTTTCCATAGTGCTCCTTTGATCGGTTTCTTGTGCAGATGCAGAGTGTGTGAAATGAGTGGACGGTACACTTATGTACTATATCAGGATCTGTGAAAAATCGATAAAGTTCGTTTGCAAGTTTTAAAATGGATTTTGAATTTAGTAGGGCTTTCATAGGTTTACAGCAACCAAGCATGCAACTCATTATATTCATGTAGAATCTTCAGTGATTCTCAACCTTTTTGACTCCGAGGCCCCACACTGTCCATAACAATATTCAAAGGTTTAACGATAAGGAGTTTTAAAAATGGTTTACTCACCATTTCTACCTGATTAAATACTTTAGAGCTTATCATAAATACAAAAATGTATACTCTTTACATGGCATTTTAAGGATTTGTAAAAAATATTTTCACGACTTTTCCAGGTCTAGAAATTACACCTTTAAAATGAATTCAAATTCAAATCAATTTAAGTCTCCTTGAGGCCCCCTGGTTGAGAAACACTGATGTAGAATAAATGACTTTTTGCTGTATTCTCCCTATTTTTAATATAGTTGGTTAAATACAATTTTAAGAAGTACTTAGTACACCGTTGTCCTGTTTCATTATGTTTTGATTATTTATTAAGACAATATCTGTTCAAATCTTGGCTAATTAGTAGTGTGAGCTAAGGCAAGTATTACTGTTAGGATATTATTTATCTACATTCATAATTTACAATCATATAAATAAAAAATAAAATGTTGCACAGATGTAGAATATGAATAATAGCCCAAACATGGCACTACTGTTCAAGAAGTATTTAGAACATCTTTGTCCTATTTCACTGATTATGTATTAACACAATATCTGTTGAAATATAAGCTAATTAGTAGTGTTAGCTAAGGCAAGTATTACTGTTATGATGCCTCAAATCATGTTTAGTTTTTTTTTTAAGGAGAGGTGTGCTGTTACTTTTATAATTGATCAGGCTAACAATTTTCGCCTGGAGGACAACAAAACAGAATATCGTACTTATGACTCTTCCGACTTGAGTCAGAAAGTATTCAACTAAACAAAACACCCAGAACACCATAGCAACCAACTTAAAACCAGTTACCCCATAGCAATGCCCTGGCAACCACCCTCAACATTTTAGCAACAAAAATGTTTCATTTACTCTAGGGCTGCACGATTATGACAAAAATCATAATTGTCGATTATTCCCTTGAAATTGAAATTGCGGTTATTAATTACGATTATCACAATTTACATTGAATGATGTTTATACCATTGTTTGATGCAACTGCATGCAGTATTTTTATATGAAAATAAACAAGCTGAAAACACTCTAACTGAGAAACATTTAGTGCTTTTCTATAGTATTAATGTCAAATATACATTGGATTGGTTTCTTCTTTAAATGATAAAAAAGTCAAAATATGAATGGTATTATAATGTTATACTAAAACTAAAACTAAAACAATGGAAAAACCCTTAAGATAACATGTAGAAAGAAAAAAACATATCTTAAGCGTGCAGAATAACATAAGTGGACTTTGAACGATTAATTGCCGCTTTGAACGATTACGTAATTGTGGCATCCATAATTGTAATCGCGATTAGAAATTCGATTAATTGTGCAGCCCTAATTTACACTCACATTTGCTTCAGGACGTGTAAAAATGTTTGTTTATGCTTTAAGTCTTTGTTTTGTTTTTGTCTTTTTGTTAAGTCTTGTATAGTAATATTTTGAGATATTATTACAATTTAAAATAACTGTTTTGCATTTGAATATGTATCCCTGGGATTGTAAAGCTGAATTTTCAGCAGCCATTACTCTCAGAAATCCTTCAGTGTTGAATATCAATGTTGAAAACAGTTGTGCTGCATAATATTTTTTTGCAGAAACTGTGAAAGTTCAAAAGAACAGCATTCTTCTTTAAATCGAAAACATTATATTTTGTAACATCTTTATCACCACTTTTAGTAAATTTATTGCATCCTTACTGAATCAAAATATTAATTTCTTTCAAAAAAACAAACAAAAAAAAACTCTGACCCCAGACGGTAGTGTGCTTTATGTAAGAGGAATTTTAATGAGCTGCAGTTGTTCAGTACTATAATCAGCATTCCCGTTCCCCCTCAGCAAACAATTAGGAGGCATGCTGGTGTTTTTTGATGTTGTTGCCCAATCTCAGACTCTGTGTACCGACCGTATGAAAGTCACAGCAGTCATTCGTTTAGCTGGAGGTGCCAGTATTTGCATCCACACTCAGCAGCAACTAAACATCTTCTTTGATCATGTGCTCCAGGAACAACAGGCTTTTTCAAACTGGCAGACGCTTTGGGCTCGAGTTTTTGTTAGGAATGCGTTTCTGCTTAGCTACTGTTGGTTTAGGTAGAGCATCAAACAGCCGAAGGGATTGTGTATTCATAAGACGCGATCAGATGGGCTGATACTGAACGCAGCACAAGACGTCTGCAAGAAGGGAGCGACTGTCCTTGTCTTCTCCTCATGATGATAGCTTGTGTTTTTGGGGTTATTTAGTGTCATTGAGCTGCTGGGTGAATGATGTTTACTGACCCACTTGCGTTTTAGTCATAGATGGGGTTTAATTGCTCACACATTCTCTCTGTCTGGCACTTTCTGTTCATTTAGAAAGATGAAAATCCGCGGGCTGATGAAGGATATACACCCTTAACACTGTGGTTAGGGTTGGGTATCGTTTGGGTTTTTTACAATACCGGTGCCAAATCGATACTTTTAAAACGGTACCGGTGCCTAAATGGTGCCTGAACCGATACTTAAAAAAAATAATAAATAAAAATAAATAAATATCCAAAATAGGATGGATTGGCCATTATTGAGCGCTATAAACACATTTAATGTCTGTTTCATTCATACTGGACGCCAGAGGGTGCCCTCGCGCAGAAACTCCACATGTGCATCACAGAAGTAATAGGACTCAGGAAATCCCTATACTCTTTGCTAATATGGATAAAGGCATTGCTATCGCTGTAACTGAGTAAACAGAAGATATAAACGTTTACAAACAAAGACAATAAAAACTCGACTGCGGCAATGTATAGTTTATCTGTGTTATTCAAGCCATCTTTGGTATTTTCATCATAATTAAGTATATTTATAATCCATTGCTAATCAACATAGTCTTTTTACCATATGCTTTTTACAGTATAGAACATATTTTCTGCCTCATTCTGTGACAAGAAGCCACATCAGATCACAACAGGAAGCAGGTGTGGAGTAAAAACGTTATAGTGTTCTCTTTTGTTGGACAACAGGTTTAGAAATGCTTCTCATTGCAAGTCATTACAAGGGAAGTTTAGCTTTAGGCATTATAATTTAAGAATGATTAGCTTAGCTAGCTAATGGTATCTACCTGCTGCCATCAGAGCAAGTGTAATTGCTGCATTCACGCGCTCCTCGGATGCTCTCATTTCCCGAGTTGTTATGTTAATGCTATGACCCTTTTGCTGAAGAAGAGAATGTATACAGGTTTGGAATCAGGATAAGTTTAAAGGTCCCCTGAAATGCTTAGAAACACGCAGTGTTACTCTATGTGTTGACATCATTTTAACTAGGGTGACCATATTTTAGTTTTTCAAAAAGAGGACAGTAGGGGGCGGGTTCGTGGGCGGGGCTTTGCCTAACAGTATAAATAGCAAGGTTTTTTTTTTTTTTTTGCTTATTTTGTTTTTATAATAAATTTTAAAAAAACAAGTAGAAAGAATAGAAAAATAATAGATAATGCAAGTGTTAGAAGGTCATTATTTATAATAAATAAAAAGAAAATAAGTAGAAAGAATAGAGAATGCTAGTGTTAGAGGCTCTTCTTTATAAATAAAACAAGTAGTTAGAATAGAAATAGAATAGAGTGCAAATGTTAGAGGGTCAAGTTTAAAAAAAAAAACAAGCAGATAAAATTAGAAGTAGCATTAGAATAGAGAGTGCTAGAGTTAGAGGGTCAAATTTACACAGAGTGCGTGTGATCGCGAAATCAAAAGTGAAAATAAACAGCGCAAACGCTCATTCAAAAATATTTAAATACACCGCATCCTGAGAGCGGCTCCCTGATGCGCCAAAATTATACACAATATTAGAATGTTTAAAGGATTGGACACGAAAATCGCGGGAGCGAAACATGTTGCAGGAGCAGGCGGCAATGGGATTAAGAAAACAGCCGAATCTCTTGACATTTTGGGCAATTAAGAAATCCCGGCCGGACGCATTTTTGTAGGTCCAAAAAGAGGACATGTCCAGGGAAAAGAGGACGTATGGTCACCCTAGCTTTAGGCATTTTAATTTAAGAATGTTTATCTTAGCTAGCTAACGGTATCTACATGCTGCCATCAGAGCAAGTGTAATTACTGCATTCACGCTCTCCTCGGATGCTCTCATTTACCTTTTCGACTTGCTTTCGTGAATTTTCTCAGTCGAGAAATTATTTTTCACGTGCGGTGCCGGTGATCCTTACGTACGTTTCAGAGAACAAATATTTCAATCGATCGCTCAAGCATTTAAATGGCACCGAAATCTGCTTTCTGATTCGGTTCTAGTACATACCGGTTACATAGGTACCGGTGCCATATTGGCATCGGGTTTCAGTACCCAACCCTAACTGTGGTTGTCCTCTTTTCTGAATGTTTTGTCTATAAAAACTGTGCCGGATTAAAATCTTTATGTAGGGCACAAGGCAACACGAGGAGAAATTTTTAAGGAGAAATAGAAATTTACCGATGTTACTAAGGGATGCAAGATTCTTAGTGAAAGATCTTCATGTCAGCTAGGCCAATATTTGGCCTATTTGAGATTAGCATCAGCTAATAACGTGTCCTCTTGTTTAGAGGTAGACCGATATGGGTTTTTCACTGGCCGATGCCGATATTTAGAAATCAGGGCAGCCGATGGCCGATATATGATGCCGATTTTTTTGACCGATATGTTTGGCCGATTTTCTTTTTTTTTCTTCCCCTTCATCTCATAAAAGTGAGTTTGAGTAAATGATTATTGCAGGATACAAGATAGTAATAGTAGTAGTAGCCCATACAGATACATTCATATAAAAACACCTGTGCTGCATTTTAATTTTGAAACGTGCAGTGCTCAGTTTATTCAAGGAAGTATAAGCCTTTTGGAAAATCTATTTGTGGCGGTCCGTCTGTCGTATCGTGATTACGCTTTCGAAACGGTCTGTTTTGCCCTGCCATCATTAGCTGAAGCTGTGTGTGAACAAGAAGCGGCTGCAGAGTGTGAGCTGCTCCGTCTCACGCAGCCAGAGAGAGATTCTCCGGCGTTCCGCAACAACGCTTAGCTGCCCGCAGATGCGCCTGCCTATAAATCGGCCTAATTTATAGCACAATCGGCCGATGCCGATTAATTAAAAAATGGCAAAAATCGGCTGATCAATCGGCCGGCTGATCAATCGTTTGACCTCTACTCTTGTTCATGTACCAGTTGCATACTAATGCCAGTATATGGAGGTTAGCCATAAATATGGCCCCTTTTAGCCCAAAGATACACTACCATTCAAAAGTTTGGGTCTTTTTACTTTTTACTTTTTATTTTAATTATTTAAGTTTTTTTTTTTTTTTTAAATGGATGAATACTTTTATTTAGCAAGGACACATTAAATTGATCAAAAGCGACTGAAACATTTTTAATTTGACAAAAGATTTGTATTTTAAATAAATGCTTTTGAACTTTCTATTCATCAATGAATCCTGGAAAAAAAATATTATGGTTTCCACAAAACAAAAAACAAAACAAAAAAAAAAGCAGCACAACGGTTTTCAACAATAATAATAAATAATAAAATTTCTGAAGGATCATGTGACACTGAAGACTGGAGCAATGATGCTGAAAATTCAGCTTTGATCACAGAAATAAATTACATTTTACAATATATGTAAATAGAAAACAGGTATTTTGATTTTTGTACAAATATTTCAAAATTTTACTGTTTTATTGTATGTTTAATCAAATAAATACAGCCTTGGGGAGCATAAAAAATTAAAACATTTAAAAACATTATACATTAAAAAAAATCTTATTGACCCGAACAGATTACATATGTAGACTTTCTTAGACATAAGAAATCCATATGTGGATTAAGTTCTTTTGTGCAGGGAGGTCAAATTTAGAAATTATTCTTTCATTAGAACTGATTCTTTGTAATGATTCAGTCAAACTGATTCAGAAAGCATTTGTTGATGACTTTGTTTAGTTTAGACGTTTTTAATATTGGGGGCATTATTGTTGATGAATAAATAAATATCTTAATAAAGAACTGTAAACAACAGCAGAACAGGTGACAACAGCAATTGTACTGCAATAATGGAACAAAAAAATGCTTTTTTAAAACTGGTTCAATGAAATAAATAATCCAAATGGTCCAGTTTACAGTTTTTGTGGCCTCCAATCCAAAATTGTCATTCAGATTTGATGATAAATCAGTATCTTTTGCAAATACTTGTGACAACAACATTTTTGGTTGTGTGTCATTAAAGTTCTAACCTAATTTGATAAAAGTGTGTATGATTACAACCTCATGTTTGAATTGTTTGTATAGACACTAGTCTAATTTTTTGTGTGTTTGTGGTGGGTTTGCTCTCATATTATGTTTGAGTATGTGCATCGATGCATTGGTGAGCGAAATGATCTTAATGAGCATATCGTCTTAAATGTTTTCTGATTTCACAGATTTCAGAGTACATTTGGACTCTTTCTGTGTTATTTCATGGACAGGCCTGTTGATGGCTGTCTAAAGCTTTGGAGAGCGAGCATGTGTGTGTTTTGTGTGCATTTGTGTGTGTGTGTGTGGCATGTGCCCAGCTGTTCCTTTGCATCTGACTGCCTTCACTTTGGTATTTGTGCCTTGGGATGTTTTAGAGAGAGACCATTTTACAAACACTTTATCTTTTAAATGCTGTAAAATTTTTAATTGTGGAATTAACAGACTGATATCAGATTTATAGGGGCCAGAATACTATAGAGCAGAGGTGGGCAAAATTTTTGCCATGAAGGACCACAAATCAAACTTGAATGAGAACTGTGGGTTGAAAATAAATGTTGCATAATATCCAAATATATTATATGTGAAATGTAAAAAAAATTAAATAAAGAAATAAATTAAATTCATTTATATTCTCTACATTTGGAAAAATAAAACAAACAAAAAAAAAAGTTTAAACAAAAAGGATAAATTGGAAATGAAGATACGCTTCAGTGGCATGTTTTTTTTTTCATCCTATTTTTCCCTCAGACTCTTGTGATATAGCATGGTGCATAACTTTAATATATGTAGGATAGAAAAGTTTTGACACTCAAAAATGTCACTTTATCCTTTTCTGTAGATAAAATGAGTAAATATAGCCATTCAGCTTTACAGTAAAATTTTGCCTAAATTTGCCTAAACTATTACAGAACATTAAAAATATTATAACAGTCTTCCCATTAACCCACTATAATGAATGTCACATTTAGCTGTGACTTTAATATTGCATATAGTATAGTAATATAGTGATATTTCTGTCAATATCAGCTCACTCTGTTTGAATGAGAGATTCAGTTCATTTATTTCCTTAAAGTCCCCCCCCCCCATAAGTTTATTTTTCACATTCATTTTCACAATAAATGACTAAAACATTTGGTTGTTCTATATATACGGTATACACTGTATGTGTCATGTGTAATGAATATGATTAGGGGTCAGTGCTTTTCTGTCCACCCCATATGACTAGTACACATCTTGTTGTGTCACACACACACACACACACACATCATTTGTGCTGTGGCATGCAGCTTTATTGTTCTTCCCTCTTTCATACGGGAATCTTTCACTGTCTCTCTCTGGCTCTGCCAGTGAAATCTCAGTGCTGTTGTGGCTGCTTTCTGTGCTCACAGTAGGTTTCAGTCTTTTAGATTTTATGATCTGTAATCGTGATTTGTAATGGGAGCTTCACCCTCTTTGTGTCCACTGTTTTCACACTGCACAGATTTTTGGGTGTCCTGTGCGATGGGAAGGAAAATCCAGATGGTCACGACCCTCTCGATGTTTTCAAACGGATGTTTAATCATACGTGTCATTCACTTCCTCACTCCACAGGAAGAATGCAAGCAGATCATGGCCCGTCAGAAGTCCAACTCTCAGTCCGACTCTCACGATGATGAAGTGTCTCCTCCTCCTCCAAACCCGGTGGTGAAGGCCCGGTGCCGGAGAGGTGGGGTCAGCGCCGAGGTCTACACAGAGGAGGATGCCGTCAGCTATGTCAGAAAGGTTAGTTTGGATTATATAGCCATTGTAGTTCTGAATAAAACTGCAGTTAAATTTGCATTATTTTCAAGTACGCTATTTAGGATGTTTTGGATTTGTCTCCGTCGCACCATCAGTAATAGACCAGATTCACTGCTCTGATTTCACATAGTTTTTTTCAGTATAGACATTCACATCACATTTGACTTCCATAATATGGTTTTTCTGAGTGAAGAATATTGAGCAGGAAGTAACGCAGGACTGGATTTTATTCAGTGTGATTTGATTGGATGATTAGGTTGTTTTATTATTGTTTAATATTGTTTTCCTTTTCTGCACCTCTAGCAGAAAAGAAAAGTCAGAAAATCCTATGAATGTATTTTTCTTTAGAATAACATGCACTGATGAATTGTGCACAATAATAGGAACATTTTAAAGTATGTAAATAAGGTTGAATGTTATTTTAGTATTATTTATATACAATTACAATAGTTATTAATATTTTTAATTAGCATTTTGTTATATTTATTATACTATTTTATATTTTCAGTTTTCATTTAAATTTTTTTAGTTTAACTTATTTTAACTTTAGTCATTTTTATGTGCTTTTGTAATTTTTTACATTTTTATATAGCTTTCATTTATTTTTAATTCAGTTTTAGTAATTTTAGTACTTCATTTTAAACCTATGTATTTCAATTAGTTGACAAGGCAAGTTTTTTTTTTTTACATTTAAATGTTTCATCTAATCTTTTTTTCCCTCATTTATTTCAATGAACGAAAATGATTTTTAATTGTTTTAATGTTAGTTCATGTTAATGTTAACTTCAATAATTAGTGGTGATTGATGATGCACATTTGATAATTTTCTCAGCAAACCCAAAACCCCAAGCATTAAACATTGGTTCATAACACATCCTGCACCATTTGTGCTATGAATGTGAATGATTCCTTAAATCATCATCTCGTTGAGGATTGCTATTAATTCTGTAAGGCAATAAAAATTTTGCCTGATGTATATAAAACTGGTGAAAGGGAGACCAGAATATCATAGAAAATTGAGGTTGGGATCTTTTAACTTGGGCCAGCAAGTAACCACCTTCTGTAGCAGCACCTTAGCAACTGCTTAGTAACGTGCTTGAAAAGTGATTCAGATCACATGAGCAACTGGCTAGCAACATCCACAACACTCTAGGATCATCATGGAAGCACATTTTTCACAACACAACGCTCACAATTAATTGAGGAAATATGCAGAAATTTCAAAATGTTAGGAAAACCTTATAATTTGTTTGTTTTATAAGTGGTCATCTACTTATTGTTTTCTTTGGTTATAGGTCATTCCAAAGGACTACAAGACAATGACCGCCCTGGCCAAAGCCATCTCTAAGAACGTGCTGTTTGCCCACCTGGATGACAATGAGAGAAGGTAAATGCACGTCATCTGAGGTGGTTTGTTGTCAGGTATTATAAGTATATAAGGTTATGTTCACATGGTCAGTGTTTGGGTTTCCTGTAAATAACTAAGATGTTCGTAAACGCAACCATATTAATGGCTCAAAAACAAGACTGACAACTGTATTCTGCTGCCGTGTGAACAGGGCCTCAGCCACACTATATTTCTCATTGGCCTTGTACACACTGTAAAGATCCAGGATTGACAACCGCATTTAAATATGGGAGTGAATCCTCTAAATGATTGTTTTGTGTGTGTACAGAAGAGAACTCACTCTCGAAATTGTGATGACTATGTGATGCTATGGTAACAACTGACACTGTTGTTACCATAGCAAATTTTGGGCGTCTCGCGCGGTTAGTATCTGCTATTTTTAACTGAAGTATTATTACAGTTAACAAAGACTCATTACATTTGGAGATTTTAACCAAATCACTGTCGACAGAGCCGTCGTGTTTTCTTTATGTTTGGAAGGCTATTTCACTGAGCATGCTCTTGAAGGGTTGCCGTGTCCACTTATTATAAGTGACACTTATTAAGTGTCTTTGGGCTTGTGGTTTGGACTTGGCCCATAAAGCAATCCAGTTTATGGAGTTAATAAAGTAGGCAGGTGCAGGTCTCAATTTTTTGGTATGTGGCTTATTTCCAGGATAACGCGTTTAGATTTGAGTTTATTATGGACTTGTTCTTATTAGTTTTTTTTCTTACAAGATCTGGCAACACTAATGTGTCAAAACGTACCCTGTGATTTCTTGCACCGCACATACAGAAGAGAGAGACAACTCTTAATACATATTTAAATACGTCATTAACATTTCGTTTTTCAGCTCGGTTCCGTACACACTGCGTAAAATTTCTGTAAATGCGGTTGTCAGTACCTGAATTTTTGTGAGTCAGTTCAGTTGCACAATGCGGCTGTCACTCCTGTGTATTACTGAACTGTGCGTACAGAACAAGATTAAGCACTATAAGGAAAATTGACCACTGTTTTGTGGCCATTGTGAAGTCTTTCTTATGAATCGGGTTACGCTGTTACCAGCTTGTTTCTTGTTGTCAGCGCTGGGCTTGTGAGTGTTTGGCGGGGTGAGGGTATGAGTCGTGTCAAGAGGGGCTTGTGAGTAGCCACTGTATTTGCTCTGTTGCTCTCGTCACCATGGCAACCCACATCGAAATAAAACATGCAATGTGTCTGACCGTAGTGGAAAGTGTGTTTTAATGCGGGTGTGGGGAAATAGCGTTGCTCGGATTGTTTCATTTTGGCTTTCAAGTCCGGGAGATGCCACAAACCCTAAACAACAACGAGGAGAAAAAAGCCTCTCCCAGTCCACCAGGAATTTCGCTCAGGTTGTGTACGGAATACAGTTTCACTGCTGAGGAGAATCCATTATCCATACAGATCCACCATGAAGGGAACAAACTCTCAGCTTTCTGCTTTTAAAACCTCTGTGAGAACACGCGAAACGGCCCAAATGCTCAAACTCCCCAAAACATCCCGTCTGCACTCAGCTGGAAATTCACCACACTTATTATCAGGCCTTCTTGCCAGGGACTGCAGATGCGCGTTATCGGGTTTTAAGATTGATTTCATATTTTTGGCTGTTGTGAATATATCACAGTCACCATTTATCAGGCATGGAATTACAGGCAAATTTAGTTGGAAAAAACTGATTTTGTGCAGTGCGTCATCTTAAGGCAAGGCTTACCTTGTCATTTCTCTTCTGAATGCTCCAGAACACTCTTCATATTTCTGATTCAGATTTGTGGAGAACATTAATGTTGTTTCCATGGTTACGGAGTCTTCGCTCCTGGCGACGGCCCCGCACAATGTCCAATTATCTGCATGTGTGTCTGCGATACTGTCAAAGCAACAGGCTTGATGTGGTCATACCGAACATGACTCTGCAGTATCTGGGAAATGACAGGATAATGACATTATGTTAGGATCTTTTCATTGTTTTATAGAGTTATGTTAGCGTGAGATGTTGCAGATTCACTAAGAGCGGTCTGGATTTCTCTAAGCATGCAGTGAACACTTTAATATTTTTATTAACAACTTATTAATACCTGCTGTATGTATATATATATATATATATATATAGATAGATAGATAGATAGATAGATAGAGAATTTTTTAATTCTATATACATTACTGTTAAAGTTGGGGGTCAGTAAGATTTTTTTCTTAGAAAGAAAGAAAGAAAGTTTATTCAGCAAGGATGCGTTAAATTTTATCATAAAAAGTTTTGTACTTTCTATTCATTAAAGAATCCTAAAAAATATATATCAATGTTTCCACAAAAATATTAAGCAGCACAACTGTTTCCAACATTGATAATCAGAAATGTTTCTTGAGCAAATCAACATATTAGACTGATTTCTGAAGGATCATGTGACACTGAAGACTGGAGTAATGATGCTGAAAATTCAGCTTTGCCATCACTCAAATAAATAAATAATTAATTAATTATATTTAATAATAATTTTTTTAAAGTATATATTAAAAATATATATTCAATACTCGATTAAAATTCAATATATTCAATATTCAATTAAAAATATATTCAAATCACTTAAAACTAAAATTAAAATGAAAACCATAAAAACATTTTAACTGGAATGAAATAAAATATAAAATAAACTTTTTTTATTTCAACTATTGACAAGGCAACATTTCTTATTTGAATTTACATAGATTGTTTTTGTTTTAAATATACCTTGATGTACTAAAATAACTAAAACTAAAACTGAAATAAAAATTGAAAATTGAAAATTGAAAAATAAAAAGTATACGGACATATATATATATATATATATAAAAGAAAAATACTAAAATCCACAATAACTCGCAATAAAATTACTGAAATTTTAATTAAAACTAAAATGAAAATGGAAAATATAAAGACAGAGTATTTCAAAATAATAATAAAAACTATAATAGTATCTCATTGATACACTACAATAACACTGATTCAAATAGAAAACATTTAATTTAAGTTATAATAAAATTTAACAGTATTATTGTTTTTTTTTTAACAGTATTTTTGCCTGGGTGAACTTAAAGAATACTTAAAGAAGGGTGGACTTAAAAAAACTTCTTTCAAAAACATGAAAAATCTTACTGACACCAATCATTTGAATGGTAGTGAATTTAATTATTTTATTCGATTTACCTATCTTGATCTGTAGACACTAGTCTACCACACCCCAGATGTGTGCACAGTGCAGTAAACTCAAAAAACAGCAGCATACACCAGCTAACATGGTGAACGAGAGTCATATGCTTTGCAAATGTAATCACCATTGGCACAGATTTGGCTGTTCGCTCTTGCAGGCGTTCACACATATGGCCATATATAGTAGAACATGCCATACACTGTTTGCTTTATTATGCTGCAGTCAGTAAGAGCTTTTTGTTAAGATCACTGGAGACACACGGCTGCTGGAGCTAAACATTACAGCTAGATGGCAGATACTGTAAGGGAGTATCTGGCATGTGGTATAGCCCACCCTAGGGTCCACCCTACAGGTTATTTGTTGTCTAGTGTGGTTTTGTTGCCATGGCAAATAAAATCAAATACTTCACGGTGGTATGGGAATAGCTCATTGGCAAATTTAATGCACAATCTAATGTTGAACTTGACCTTGGGAGTTAGGTCAGCATGAAAGAAATGTAAGTCATCAATAGAAGCTGGGTTTGTAAGCTGAATAACAATATTCTTGCACAAAAAATAATCTTTTTATTTTGTTTATCATCTATTTTATGATGTTCTTTAAGGAAAGAGAATGATTTCTGAAAGATCATGTTTTTTTGTATTCAGGTGGCCTTTATACTGTACATGTATTCAAGGTTTAACTCTTCACAGGTTTCTGAGAGACTTGTTGAGAGGTTTTGGCTTTACACATACATTTACATTTCTTTGCCTGTTTTGCTCGCATAATCGGTGTCGAAAAGGCCAATATTTATATTTTTCTTTCAATTTTTTTTATTTCTTTATTTTAAATAGTACTAATTGTAATGCTGTGACACTTCATATATTTTTGTAGAAAAGGTTTTATTTATTTATTTATTTTCAACGGTAATAATATTTATTGCACTGCTGTAAGAGTATTAATCACATATATTAATATATATATTAATATTAATCACATAACACAAAATAATATTTCAGTGCTAAAAATTCAATATGTTTCTAAAATGGGCTTCATTTTCTTTATGCAAACTTCCTTTTTTGTCATTCCCATTATTTTCAATGGTTATTGTCATTAAAGTAAAACATTAATAAAAGCGAAACTACTTTGTTTGGTCTTCCAAAAGAGGACACGACTAGAAATCAGTGGTTAAGTTGTATTTACAACACTGTTCCAGAACAGTTCAACCCAAATATTCATTTGTTGTGCAGCACATTTTATGGAGGAGTGATTCTCATTAATGTAAAACAGTAATAAAAAGTCAACATAAAATATAACGGCAGTGTGACAAACACCATGACATATATATTTTTTGCATTACAGTGATAAGAGTAATAATGTTTATTTCACTACTGTAAGAATTTGGGGGTAAAAGTTAAAAACATATAAATATAATTAATATTACATATTAAATGCACATCACAAAATAATTTTAAAATGCAAAAAAATATATATTTTCTTTATGCAATTAATATTTTTTGGGGGGCGGGAAGGTAAAATATGCCCTGTTTTTTACAGGTTTTGTGAGGATCATGTGTTGTTTTTGATTAGGCCTATATCATGTTTTCTTTATATTTATTTATGCCAGTGTATATTTCCTAATCTCTATTTTTATCTATGTTGAGTAAGCCAAAGTGAACATTTTCAAAGTTATTTTACCCGCAAACACAAGTGGACATCTGAACCTTCAGAGCCTTGATTTGCAACAACATCCTATCTGCGGCCCCAACTCTCCCTCTTTCCACAGGGGCCCTGCAGCATCTCAAACAACAGAGCTTTGTGTT